GCTTCTGATAAGGGCTCCAGAGAACAGGACAAGGAGCCGCTCACACCAGCCAAAGTCGCCCCCTCAGTCTTCTAGTGACCTAGTGTGGACTCTGCTGACGATCACCTCACTAGATGCTTCTCGGTCCCGGGGTTTTCCTGTCCCCCGTCTTTGAATACGCGATGCACGGAGAAGCCTGATCTTGAACTAAGCGTGCCCAGGAGTGTGCGTACCTCCCTTGAGATGCTGAGTCTTCCCAGGGTGCCCAGGGACACATGCCCTCTCTGATCAGGGAGTCGCGCTTTGGGAAGTACCCAGTGCACCCCTCAGGTGCTGCAAGTAGTCAAGCCCTCCGCCCTTCACTTCCTGGCTCTGCTTATCAGCTCTGCATCCCCAAGAGGTGAACCTCTGTGTTCAGCTCCACTTTGATTTTGGGCAACCAGCCCCCAAGGAGACTTACAACCCAGCTGAACTAGTCTGTCTCCCAATAGCTCATTCGCAGGACGCATGATGAGAAACGCAAGTAAGCATTAGGCCCCCTACTAGGTGCACAAAATCTCCTCCATTCCCTCCAATGAATAGCTAGGAAGGCTACCAAAGCGCCAGGGGTTCTGTTTATAAATCACACGGCCCCGCCTGACTTCACCTCTGCAGTCACCGCAGGCCACGGGAGCAGCAGGACTCACCGATTCTCTGATTGAAAATCTTGTCGAAGGTTATCTCATTTCTCTCCTCGAGATACTTCTGCATCACGTTCCGGATACTGAAAGAGAAGACGGCACATCTTTAACAACACGGGCCTCACCGAGACAACCATCCCCAGGAGGGAGCAGGCAGGGGGGCCTGTCCAAGACACCGCTTTAGGGGAGACCCTTCCTGCTGTCACAGGGGCCGGTGACATGGCTGAGCAGATCAAAGCCAGCAACTTCCTGACTGGCCAGCCACCTGCTCTCCCGGGACTGGGGGCCAGCCTTCCAGGTGGGAATGCCACAGCACCCCTGGGGACCCTGGAGACCCTTCGCCCTCCAAAATAGTCTATGTGCCTGTGCACACACACACCAACACACACACACCAACACACACACACCAACATACACGGCCCGGAGCGCACGACACACACGCACAGGTCCTGCTTGTCACTTCATGAGCTTCTTTCTGAAACAAACGCTTCACATATATACAGAGGAGCTGCTGGGTCACAGGTGTGCACCACCGCGCCCGGCTGTGTTGAGCTTTAATATAGAAAAGAAACAGCAAGATGCAAAAATGGAGAAGGGATGGATCATTCAATAAGTGTTTATTCAAATGGCATAAGGAGAAGATAGAATCTCCAGTATCCAGACAGTGGAAATGAAAAACGATTCAACATCACTCTTAGAACACTAACTAAGGTGTAATTTAAACATGATTAAATGTACATACAGTGTATATTGTTCAATGAGCCTTTACAAATACGCCCTTGCAACTACCCTCCTTTCCCTGTATTCTAGATCCACGCAGCCACTGGTCTGCCCTCTGTCCCCTACGTGCTCCGGTTCTAGACTTCTAGGCAGAGGACAGGATGCCATGGGTCTTCCGTGTCTGGCTTCACCCGTCGGGAGTGAGCTTCACCCACCTGCTGTGTGCCACCCCTTGGTCCCTTTCCATGGCACGGAGCATGCTACTCTGATTAGCCCACAGTCAATTCACCCATCTGCCTGTTGATGGACATCCGTGATGCTTCCAGTGGGGGGCTATTAGGAATAAAGGCGCCTCAAATATCTGTGTATTCATCAACTTATGGGTGTGTGTTTCCATGTCTTAGGGTCAACAGCCCCAAATTGAAATTGTTGGTCACGGGGCAAAGTGGTGTATTTTACATCCTGGGGAGTGGTGGGACCACCTCTGTTCCAAGCTGGGCTCCCACTTTACATTCCCATCGACAGTGCAGGACGGCTCCAGGGCTCCGTGTTCTTGCCAACACTTGGGTTGCTCATCTTTTTACGTTTAGCCACTCTGTTGAGCCTGTAGCACTATCCTATTTTAATTTGTCTTTTAACTTGCATTTCCTTAATGGGTAACGGCAATAAGCAGGGTGGTACATGATTATTGGAATCCATACACCTTCTTTTATGACGTGTGTAGTCAAATCTTTTGCCTTTTAGAGGGACTGATTGTTCAGTGGTGAGCTGTCTTTGTGAAGCCTGGCTCCATAGAGAAGGGCTATGTCAGAGTCCGTGATGCTAATTCCCAGGTAGTGCCTTAGCTCTCCATTTTCCTCAGGGAGTCCTACCAAGAGTGGGATCTTTAAGCTCTTCATCAGTTTCTGGGTTCTTTCTTTGATGGACACTATGCTAAGAAGCCATGACACCCACGGTCAGGAAGATTTCAATCTGAATTTTCCTCTAGGAGTTTCAGCTTCTACATTCAGGTCTAATTTCCATTTCAGACTGATTTTTGTGCATAGTGTAAGGCAGGAGTCGTCATTTCTGGTCTCTTCATAATCCCCAAGTGTCCCAGGGTCACTTGTTGAAAAGGTCATCCCCCTGCCTCAGTCATCTTGGTCCTCGGTTGGTTCAGCACCCAGAACCTGCAGGTCTACCTTTGGACTGACGTGTGGCATTGATCTTTAGGGTTCTCCTTATGTAAACACTGTATCGTCTGAAGCTGCTGACTTCTTAAGAAGGTGGATTGACAAATCCAAATATTTCTAATGCAAGCATTTGAAGCCCGGGATTCCTTCTAGGCATGGACTGAGCTGCACCCCACGGATAATGATTCATTCTATTTTCATTTTCTTTCAATTCAAATTATTTTCTAATTTCCCTTGGTCCTTGTTCCTTGACCTGTGTGGCTTCATTTCCAAACACGTGGAGACTTCCGGTTACCTTTCAGTTACTGGATTTCAGTTTAGTTCTTTGGTGTCCACGGAGCCTATGCCGAGCGAGTCGGTTCTTTCCAGATTTACAGACGTTCGTTCCGTTGGTTGGAATGGGATGGGGCTGGTGGAGCACCGTGCAGGTTTGAACAGAATGTGCGTGCTGTCGTGGGACGGACCCATGGGTGAGTGTCAACTGGGTCCAGCTGGTTGATGGGGTCCAAAGATTTTTGTTAGAGTCTGTAAACAAGTCAGGATGGCGCCTGGCAAATGTTAGTCTGTAAACAAGTCTGGATGGCGCCTGGCATTTTGCCAGAGGGAGTGGTTTGTGAAGTAAGGCCAGCGAGCCATTAAGTGTAGAGATTCCTTATTGGTTGACTGCTGCATCTAGTTTATGCTAATTAAGATAAGCTGTGTGGAATGTATAAATACCCCTCCTGTCCTGCAATAAACGGCTCCCACTCCTGCTGTATCAATGTAAACAAGTTGTTCGTCACCCCCCGGTTATTTTGCTGCAGCCGGACTGCGGCAGATTTTTCTGTGTTCTCACTGATTTTCCGTGTCCTCCTTCCATACATGACTGAGAGGAGAGCGCTGGAGTCCCCAACTGCAGTGGTGACTCTGTCCACTGCTCCTTCCGACTCTGTCTCTGGCATTGACTTTGCAGCCATCAAGCGCATGGGCAGTTGAGGCTGCGGTGCCTCTGTCAGTATGGTGGCCGGTGACACCTGGTGACGGGCAGATCAGCCTGCCTCACCAGCCGTGAATCGGGTCACTCCAGTGAGGGTTCACATGGGGTTGTCGTTGTCTTTTTTACTTTCCAGTATCTCTGTCTACTGGAAGGGAGAGTTGAGTCCACCACACACAACACGTGGTGCTCTCCCCTCCCGGTGGCCACCTCTGCCGTTTAGCTGAGGTGTCTACACGAGCTGCCGTTAATGTCATCCCGGCAGGTTTGGACAAGTCCATTATCCCACCAAAGGCTTTACCATCGGTCCTTCTCCTCTATAGCTTTCTTGAGCTGTAAATGATACAGCACATGACATCGTAAGGGTAGCTTAGCTGGTTTCTATTAAACTTATGTCACCTCAACTCAATTTTGGGGGAGATACCAGGGATTGAACTCAGGGCACTCAACCACTGAGCCCCACCCCAGCCCTATTTTGTGTTTTATTTAGAGACAGGGTTTCACTGAGTCACTTAGGGCCTTGCTTTTGCTGAGGCTGGCTTTGAACTCGCCATCCTCCTGCCTCAGCCTCCCGAGCCCCTGGGATGACAGGCGGGTGCCACTGCGCCCAACCACAAGACACCAATTTTTTAAATGTAAACAAATGGAAAGATCAGTTGAGGAGGGGGAACAGAGGAAAGGCAGAGGGGAGGGTAAGGGTAAGCACTGGAATTCTATTCCATGCATTTGTGATTGTGTCAAAATAAATCCCAATGTTATGCTTAACTATTATGAGCCAGCAAAATAATTTAAGAATAAAACAAAAAATAAAAATCTAATTTGGGGCTGGGGCTGTCACTCGGGGATAGCACTTGTAGCACGTGTGAGGCCCTGGGTTCCATGCCCAGCGCTGCCAAAAAGAAGAGAAAATGTCTAACCTACCCTAGGAATCTATCCCAGGCTCGTATCTCCTCCCTACAGTTCTTGACTATTACACTCTACTAATAATTTTCTCTGTTGTACTATTTGGTTCCTGTTTGCATTTTAAATATTTCACGTTTTATTTTTAGTTGAAAGAAGGTAGCTGCTTCCCCATGATACATAGAATGAGTAATTTCATATGTATCTTAGATTTAAGTACGAAGCCTAAAACTACAAAACCTTTTAAAGGAAACAAATGAAAAAAATCTTTGTGACTGGGTCAAACAAAGACTTCAGACACAACACAAAAGCACTAACCAAAGACAAGGATTGATTAGATTTCACCAAAATGAGAAACTTCTGTTCCTCAGAAGAGCACTTCAGAGAATGAAAACATAAGCCTGGACAGAGAGAAAATACTGGCAAATCATACCCTGATTAAGGATCTAGATCCAACATATATAAAGATCTCTTAAAATTCAAGAACAAGAAAACAAAATATCCTATAAAATTGGGAAATTATCTGAATGGACACTTCAGGAAAGAAGATCGATGGAGGACGACTAGGCACATGGAGACAGCTGACATGGTGCTCGCTGGGGTGAGGCACCTGAAATCAAGTGAGATCCCCCTACACATGCTATTGGAAAGTGTGGCTACAATACAAAGGACCATACCAACTGTTGGCAAGGACACAGAACTACTGGAGTTCTCCTGCGCTGCTGGTGGGAATGTAAAATAGGGCACACGCTTTGGAAAAGTGCTTGGCTACATCTACCATGTGACCCACCCACTCCACTCCTGGGTATTTACCCCAGAAAAAGGAAATGATGCGTCCATACAAAGATATGCACATGAATACTCTCAGCAGCTTCATCTCAGACCGTCAAAAACAGGGATCAAGGGGCTGGGGCTCAGCAGGAGAGCACTCACCTAGCATGTGCGAGGCCCTGGGTTCAGTCCTCAGCACCACATAAAAATAAATAAATAAAATAAAGGTGTGTGTCCATCTACAACCGAAAAATAAATATTAAAAAAAAAAATAACAGGAATCAATGCCAGTGCCCACACTAGATGACGGGATCTGGACATGGGCCTCTCAGGACAGGGAGTTGCTTGGAGCTAATAAAGGAATAAACCATCCACACAGGAACAACAAAAATCAATCTCAAAACAGTCATTACGAGTTAAAGAAGCCAGAACCCAGTCCCAGAAGAGGACACACTGCTTAGCCACAAAGAGCAAGGTGCAGACCTCCGAGGGTGGAGCGTGCCCAAGGTAAAAGCATGTCGACTCCACGTGTCTTTATCCCTTGC